TATATATATTATTATATTATTATCAACTATAGACAATCAATATACTTATATTCCAGAGACGCGCAATATTGATACACAAATTATAAAGGAAATTACCTTGTTTTTTGCCGTAGTATCATATAGTCGCGCATTGTTTAAACATGTTCTAACGTGTTTATACATATTTCTTGAGCTTCCATTCTATTGCATTGCACAGGGCGCGGGGAGAGGGAAGGGGGGCTTAAATGGTATACCATTATGGCATTAGTCCCATAGCCATAATTGGCTTGCATTCTGAGCCAAACGCTGCGGAATTTTGAGGTTAACAAAGCAAAGAAAGCCTTGAAGTGAGCCACGGAAAGGGTTGCACACATTGAATATTCAAAGCCAGAACTTATATATCCAATATATATAATATACCCTTATAATGCAAATTCAAAGCTTCCAATTTATATCAAGAAATTTTAGCACATATTTATAACGCAATTTGCCCATTTATAACCTGACTCCAATTATATTTATAATTGTTTTTAAAAAAAATATATATAAATTTTATACAATATTTTAGTTTGGTTTTCAATTTGGCTTCGTGGCGTGAGAGCGGCGAGGCGAGGCGAGGCGAGGGGGGATTGGGGTAATGCTGCGGGGCATTGCTGCTGTGCGCAAAACCAGTTTTCGATTTCCGGTTATGCACATGAAATTGTTTATCTTTTATAGTTGCCGTTGGCCAATTATCAATAATGCTGCAACTGCACCTTGCAACGATTTCTTGAATTCCAACTCGATATTCATCCAAAAACAAATACTTGACAAATATCTGAATAGATGCACGAACTATACAGAATAATTTCTGAATGACAAATTTTAGATAATAAGAAGACGCATTTAGAAATGCATAAGATCAATTCAATGTATAATTTGCTTTCGAAGAATTTCTTAAAAAACACACGATATTGGGCTATATTCTCAATTCGCCTCATTGTTAATGGCCCATCATTGTAACTATATCCAATAGCCTATAAACTATATCCTCGCTCTATACTTTAAGCCCTATACCGTATGCCCTATATCCTATAGTCAATATTCTACATCCTATATCGTATATAAATTATTGTATATCGTATAAGGAATACCCTATACCAAATTCCCTATATCCCATATCCTATATTCCATTTTCTATATCCTATATCCTATATTCCATATCCCACATTCTATATCTTATATCTTATATCTTATATCCCATATCCTATATCTTATATCCCATGTCCTATATCTCGTATCCCATATTCTACATCCTAAATCATTTATCCTATATTCAATATTCTATATCATATAACCTATTTCATATACCTTTTATCTTATACCCTATATCCCATATGATATACCCTATATCATATATCCTACATCCTATCCTATGTCCAATCCCATATCTCATATTCTATATGCTATATCCTTTATCGGATACCCTTCATCCCACATCCATGCAACTATGCCCCTATTTCACAGTCTTTTGCTTGACATAGATCAAAAGGTTCTGATCGATTCCAGCGCAAACTAGAACAAATTGAATTGGGAAAAGCTTTCCACATTGCAGGCGACCAATCTCTATGGCTTAATATAGAACAAACAGGGTCGGGTTTTGTTTTCGACATAATTATAATAATTATTATTTTTGGCCAATTTGTTAATCTTCCTTTTGGAGATGTGTGTGTGTGTGTGCGTGTGTGTGTGTTGAACAGGTGTTGAGTTTTTTCCAATCGAACGTGGGGCCCAATTAGAGCGCACGTAAAATGCGCTACAATTAGCGTGCGCAAATTTTCAAATATTTAACTGGCAAAAATATTTTTGCGCCAGCGTCGTCAGCGTGTTCCCATTGAATGTTTAGCTCTCACTGTATTTTGTTTTAATGCTTTTTTCCATATTTCTGTTTTCTTGTTGTTGTTGTTGTTGTTGCCATGACGAAATAATTTACAAATTGCGCAAAACAGGTTTTTTCTCTTTTACGATTTGGCCAAAGAATTCACAACAAAAAAACAAAAAACAACAACTGAATGCTCAATGAATCTTTTCCAGCGTCCAGACCGAATCCCCACACGATTCTCGTTGCCAAAAAACAAAAATGAAAACAAACAAAACAAATGACTCAAATGGCACGCCCAGCAACCAGTTGGACAGTTGGACAGTTGTCCGGCCGCCCAGTTGCCCGGCTGATCGGCTGATCGGCTGCCCGGCTGAGCGCCGGCGATAAGTCGATAAGGCGTGAAAAACGCCCACAGAGCACACAGAGACAATTCCAACTGAGCTCGCGGAGACGGCAGAAAATTGATTAAACATCATGCAAATTTATTATATCAATAATTTGAGTCGTTCAAATGTGCTTTGCACTCGCGCAGAACTTGATTATCTTTACGATGTTGTTGGACACACGCAAATATGTCATATAATATCTTTAGGAAATTTTTATTAATACTTTCATTGTATATTACTTTTATTTTTTCAGCTCTGTCTCTGTGCAGCGAACTAGTCGCCTAGTCTATCGAAAAGGAGCGCTCTTGTGTGGAAAAGCTCAGCTCAGCTTATCGGAACATCAGATCATATAGCTGCCATATAGGAGACATCCGTCGAATTGTAGAGACTTTCGTCAAACTCAAAACTGATCTAGGAGCTGCACAAATGCCCGCAAAGGGTATTAGATCTTCGACATGCCGAGTGTATCGTTACTTTCTCGTTTCTTTTTCCGTTTTTACTTAGACAGAGTTTTGTAATAAATCGAAATACAAGAGTTTGTAATAAGCCGCATTTGCAGCATGCCAAAGTTAATTGCAATCGCAGCACAATTGGCCCAGTTGCAATGCAGCTGGGATTGGATCAGTTGCGCATCTTTGTGGAATCTGGCCCAAATACCGAGTGTGCAGATATATAGAAAAAAATAGCAGCTGCGAAAGCGAATCCGAATCCGAATCTGAATCTGATTCCGAATCTGAGTTGCTGTTGCTGGCAAAGGGTAGAGAAACTGTTGCCAACGGCTATCAACATGCTATGTGCGAGAATTTGAAATCAGATCCAAAGTTGTTCGTTCGTTATTTTTTTTTTTCTTTATATACTTTTTTTTTTTGTTGATGTTGCAATTTCTGTGCCGTTGAGGCATTAAATTGCATAATTAGCAAGTTCGCCGCGAAGCGCTCTCGAGCCGTGAATAGTTAGATATATGTAGAGCTGTGTCTGGTTCTGGGTCTGGGTCTGGGTCTGGGTCTTCAGTCTCTCCAGTCTCTCGCGCACACACACGTGATCGCGAAATGGAAAGCGCCGTCTTATCTTTTTTTTTTTTTTAGAGCTTCACATTTGCAGCTGACACAGTTTTTGGCGAGCCACTAGGAAACAATTGAGAGTGCGCCAAATTCACACGTTGCACAAAATTATTTGAAAACAAAAAAAAAAAACCAAAAAGAGATTGTCGCTGATGAAAAGCCAAGCTTTGTATCGGGCATGTGAAAGGCAAACTTAAGAACCGTAGATTATGTTTTTTTTTTTTTGTTTTTCCGACTCTGGAATCCTGCCGTTTGTAAATGTTGATTTAACTGTGACATGACATTTGATCTGATCTATTTTATAGACAGACAGACGGGACCAGAACGAATCATATTCTTGTCCTGATGTAGAAACGATAATAACCCCATCTGCCTGTTACATAAAATTATAATGTTTTCTTGGCATACAAAGTAATGAAAAAAAATATTAACCGGAAATACCGAAACACCAAATTTGTATAATAGCTTAATCAGCTCGATAGTGATCATCATCATCATCATCATTGTGATTAGCATAATAAAAATTGATTTGATTTCCCTCTGGGAGCATGGATATCTTACATGTCTTAGAGTGGAATGCATTTTTGATTAATTACAAGACGCTGCCGCTGCCTGCAGCCGTCCGGAACCCTTGCCCCAATCAGAACCCTATACCATTTGTCTTCTTCTGCTTCTTCTTCTTCGCTGTATACCTGTCGTGTCTCTTTGGCAGAAGGTTGGGCCCCTAATTTGGCTGCCCCTGCAAGGTTGAGAAGTTACAAGCTGCTCATCTCGGGTTCAAATGAGTTCAAAGTGCGCTCTGCGCCCGCCGTCTTTGCCTTTTTTTAAGGTATTTATTTACTTTAGTTTTATGCTTTTTATTTGTATTCTGGGCTCTGCGTTTATGCTTGGCTCGTCTTTTTGATTTTGTTTGTTGTTGTTATCAATTCTTCAAGAAATGTATGTAAATACATTTCCATCTTATTTCGTATACCCTTACCTGGGTTCTAGCACTTTTTTAGGTTAACAAATCGCAATTAAGACCAACAAAATTTCCTCTAATCGAACTTTCACTGCACTAATAATAATAATAATAAAAAAAGGCTGCGAGCCAGATTTGAAGCCAACCAACTGAAGCTGGGAATTCTAGCTTAGATTTCAGTCGCAAACGAAAGAGACAAAAATAACCCACCTAAAACCCCAATCAAATGATAACTTAGTAAAAAATTGCATTTTTCCTGAGATCAAGTATGTGAAAGAAAAAAAATCCGTTTCAAGAACCAACTACATTTGAAGGCTTTGCAGCCCTGGTCTAAAAGGGTATTCATTCTTCGACTTAGCCTTTGCTTCGTACGAATATTTCAACTCATTTGCTTGCCTGTTTTCTTCTTCTTACTTTTGGAGCGTTCTTTATTGGGTCGCCGCTTATCATTATTCAAATATTTTACCTAGACAAACGAACATTCCGATCTGCTCTACCATCTTTCAAATGGGCGATAACACTCACATGTGCACACACACACACACATGCTGGCCATACACTTTCGACTTCTTTTGAGTTCGGCTTTTTTTTTTTTGTTTTGTAATTACAAACAACTGACGCTCAAGTGTAGCATTTCCGCTGTACAATATCAAACGGGGCGGGGATGAAAACCGTAGGGAGACTTATGTGTGTGTGTGTGTGTGTTGTCAAGGGGGGGTGGAAGGGAGAGAAGGAGGGAATAAGTTACTCACCTTGCCGGCTGCCTTTTTGTAGCGTCGCGTGGCCTCGCTGATCAAATCCCGGACGAGAAGCTCGCCGCTGCCGCAGGGCACCAAAATGCGAACATCGCCGAAGCAAACGGTAACCTTCATAGTTTCGATAACACGTTCGATAACACGTTCGATAACACTTTGATTAAATATATTAATAATGCACTTGTGTGGGGAATGTATTAATGCAGTTGCAGTCGCTTTCGTTCTTGTTGTTTTTCTTATTAATCTAGATACATATTTTGCTCGTCTGCACGTTGTTGTTGTTGCTGTTGCTGCTGCTGTTGTTGCTGTCTGTTACTGGCATTTGGCTTTGGCATCATCTTCTCCTTTCATCTGCTCCTCAGCAGCTGCACACGATTCTCTCGGTGAGTGTGTGTGTGTGTGCGTTGCTATTCATCTAGCTGGACAGTATGGCATATGTATGTGAGAGCGAGATGGCCTGCACTACACACGCTTAAAGGACTTTGGCGTCGCTGCTGCGGCTGCGGCTGCGACTGCGCACTTGACAGCAGCTGTACACACGACAGGGAAAAAAACGTTTTTTTTTTTTTGTGTTCACCTACCACCAGACAGAAAGAACTATCGCGTGTGCGTGCGCGCGTGCGTGTGTGTGTGTGTGTGTGAGAGAGCGCCGCTTTGTATTATTTTATTTTGTTATCGTATTTTATATGTCGCGCTCGCGTTGCAGGATGGCCTCTTCTCGTTCTTTTAGCTGTTGTACGCTCTTTGCTTTGTTTATTTGTTTAGCATATTTCACTGCATTTTCTGTTAACTGTTGTTATGGCTTTTTGTTGTTGCATGAATCACACGCGCAAAACGAGTTACAATAACAACACAGCACACACAAAAAATAAGCCAAACAACAGGCCAAGATCATCGGAAACGTCGTAACCAAACGCAACAACAATAATAAAAAAAAAAAATAAAACACGTTAGACAACAACAATAAATACCAGCTGCACCCCGCGAACTGCAACGACAATTGCAATTTTTGACAAAAAAATGTATAAGAAAAAACAATTTGTTTGCTTGATTAGCGTTTTTTTTTTTTATTTTTTTTTTTTTTTTGTATCAGCTTTTAGCTTTTATTTAAGAGTTAAATTGTCTCTTTTACCAACTGGTGGCACACATATTCCGTTCGATCATTTTTCGTCGCACCGTTCGCAACGTCGTTTCGTGGTTATCTTCGCTTTTGTAAGTAAGCGTCGTTTTGCTTTTAGTTAGCTTCTCTTTTGTTATGCTTGCACCTACAGTTATGTGTGTTTTGCATTTGCACTTGATTCGATCACGATTCTACACAATTATCATTTAGTGGTTCTTAACGTGTTATTTCAAAAACAAAAACAAAAAAAAAAAAAAACAAATTCTTTAGCGTTGAACATCGCGCTGCGCTGCGAACGCTGTCTCCGCGTTAAATGCCAACAACAACTAGCGACGGCTGGAGCATCGGTTTATCGATGCACCAAACTATCGCTAATTTTATGCCGATACTTTTTAAAACTCGATAGTTTGACACATCGAATGCATAAATTTAACTGTAAACAATATGACAGATTCTTCAATTTAATATTGTTACCATCCGTTGCCAAAAGGCTAATTAAATGTGGGACGTCTTCAAACACATTTATTGTGCAATTTTACAACGCACAGCTGAGGTTTTGTTTATTCAATATATACTTGTATGACAGGCTTTTAGTATTTTAAAATTAAACGTTGCCAATAACAAAATGACAATTACTGCGCCCAATTGAGCTCTTCAATTGCTGCAATTAAGGTATCAAAAATATTGCCGCGCAAACGTGTGACCAGTTTAACAATGCAATTTTGAGTGACCATATTTTCAAAATATGTAAAATATGTAAGTAATCGAATATAATATTCAGTGTGACCGAGGTAGGCAAATACAAAAACTCTGTTTGGCCACCGCAAGTAAAAACGAAACTAGTTGCGAATTTAGACATTGGCCAATATATTAACGATATTCGTTTACTAATTGTTTATATTTGATTTTTTTTTTTGACATGGCGGAAGCTCGGTCAGGCGCTGCCTACAACTACAAGACACTGCTGTAAGTACTAAACAGTACAGGCTGTGTGCGGCTAACAAGTTGTAAATTTTAGATGCACCAACATACCGGAACTTTTCCTTGACAAATTTGTGGCGCGCACGCATTTCAGCCGCTTTGGCAACCTGGTGAATTTTGTGCTGCGGCCCAGACGGATGACATGCACGGTCAGCTATGCCAGCGAGGCTGAGGCAGCCGCAGCACTGCGCGAGGGCAACGTCTACAACGGTCACGAGTTTGAGATGAGCTACGCCGAGAACGAAAGCGCGCCGGCACAAAAAACCGAGGAATGGGTCGATCCCGATGTGCAGGCCGAGCTGAGTGCTCTGAGCGCCGGCTGGCGCAACGAATATGCTGGCAGCAAGGTGGCGAGCGCACCAAAAGCAGCTAGTTCCTTTGGCGCGCCAAGACCCATCGCAACGCCAACGAGCGGCAACGCTGAGCGTGAGCGGGAGCGGGAGAGGGAACGAGAGCGAGAGCGTGAACGTCAGCGTGCACCGGCGCAATACAAGGCGGCCAAATTGGAGCTGGAGGCGCTTATGCGCAAGCCGGCCCACACCAGCGAAGAGAAGTATCGCGTGCTGGACGCAAGGGATAAACTGTTGCGGCTGAATCTGCGACGTGGCACCACGGACGCACAGCGTCTGCAGGGTCACTGTCCGGACATGTGTCCAGAGAAGGAGCGTGTGCTGCGCGAATTTCAACGTCAGGTGGCACTCTACGAACTGAAGCCGGGCTCCGATGAGCAGATCTGCCATGAGCTCGCATTGAAGCAGTATTCGCGCAGCAGCGCCGATCAGGAGACACCGCTGCCGCACGAGCTGCGCGCAGAGCAGGCACTGCACATGACCATGAGCTATCTAATGCACGAGATCATGGATATAAGCGAGCAAACGGAGAACCTGGGCGATTGGTTTCATTTCGTTTGGGATCGCACACGCTCCATACGCAAGGAGATCACACAGCAGGAGCTGTGCTCGCTGGGCGCCGTCAAGCTGGTGGAGCAATGCGCACGCTTTCACATACACTGCGCCGCCCGCCTGGTCGCCGAAGATCCCAGCGTCTTTGATACGAAAATCAATGCCGAGAATCTAACGAAATGCCTGCAAACCCTCAAGTACATGTACCATGATCTGCGCCTGAAGGGTGTGCAGTGTCCGCGCGAGGCTGAATTTCGCGGCTATATTGTTCTGCTCAATCTGGCGGATGCCAACTTTCTCTGGGACATTGCCCAGCTGCCCGTGGAGCTGCAGAACTGCACGGAAATACGGCGTGCCATTCAATTCTATTTGGCGCTGCACGACACAAACTTTGTGCGCTTCTTTCAGCTGCTGCGCGAACCGGAAACAAGCTATCTGAGCGCCTGCATCCTGGTCACCTACTTTATGCGCCTGCGCATTCTCGCCCTGCATCGCATCGTGCAGGCCTATCGTGCGCCGCGCAAATACGAGTTCTCCTCACTGCCCGTCCGATTCATAAGCCAGATGCTGCTCTTCTCCAGCGATGCGGAGGCCATCGAATTCGTCGAATGCTGCGGCCTGAATGTCAATCAATCGGGCCGTGTGGAACTGACGCGCATACACACGCCGGAGCACTACAAGCTGAGCAGACAGTTCAAGGTGAGTGCTCCACGAACGGATCAAAACATCAGTCGATCCAGATCCGGAAAGATTTCATTCCTAGCCAGGCATGGGCCATAGATTTAATTCCCTTGTATACATTTGCCTCACGAATTTGTGTCCTGCTTTGATCTCGCTCTAATTGGTAACAAATCGTTCTCTCTCCCTCTCTCTCTCTCTCTGTCTCTTTCGTGCAGCTGGTGGAATCGAAGCGACATCAGAGCGTTGGCGAATGCATTTGCGGTGAGCCGCTGCCGCCCAAATCGCTGTACAAAAATCATCGGCCGCACAACAGCTTCAATGAGCAGGGCTATCTTAAGAGCAGCGCCTGGACGGCCAGGGATCAGCTGCCCAACAGCGTGCAGCTGGAGGAGGAATCAAGAGCAGCAGCAGCAGCAGCAGCGACAACGACAACAAGGACAACAGCAGCAGCAGTCAACGCAGACACACAGAGCACAAGCGCAGGACAAATGGATAATCTGTTCAAGGTGCCGCTCTTCTCGGCGCCCGTTTCGCCGAAGATCAAATCAACGACGCCGCCACCGCAGCCGCCGCCGCCACAAGCCCATTCACATCCGACACAGCTGCTGTCGGTGCCAGCGCAGGCGAGCCACAACAAGGATTACAGACCGGATATGTTGCTTCAACAACATGCCGCTGCATTTACAAGCAACATATTCACGGCACAGCCCAGCCAGAGCACCAGCATTGGCTTCAGCTTTGCAGCCGCAGCAGCAGCAGCGCCGCAGTCGGCGCAGAGCGCAGCAGCAGCAGCAACTGTGGCGGAACAGCAGCGCCAGCAAAAGGCCGCCGATGATGCCAAACTGGCTGCACTGCAGCAGGCTATAGCGACGGCCAAGCAGCGCGAACTGGAGCTGCTCGAGATGCAGAAGGTCAAGCTGGAGCAGGCGGAGCGTGCGAGACGGCAGCGCCAGCTGGAACAGAGACTGGCCAAGGAGGAGCAACAGCGTCGAGAGCAGCAGGCGGCAGCAGCCGCAGCCGCGGAAGCCGAGGCGCAACGTCTGCGCCTGGAACGCCAGGCGGTGGCACGTGAGGCGCAATGCAAGCAGCTGCTAAGCGAACTAATTGACCAGCAGCTGGCGTGCATGTGTCAGGAGGAGTGGCGTCTATATAGGCAGGCGCTGGACTTGTACGAGTCGCTGCTGGAGGAGCAGGTTGTGGAGCTGGCCAGGCGGAATCTGCTGCGCGCCGACTATGAAATGGGTCTGATGCGTCACTATTGGCGACGCTGGCGCAATTATCGACGTGTCCAGCAGCGCAAGGATGCGCTGTTCGCGTGCCTGCCGCTCAGCTTTGGCGGCGAGTCGAGCCAGCGATTGCTGGACATGCGGACGGCGGAGCTGCCGTTGCGCCTGATGCGTCGCTATCGTCAGGGCGAGCCCTGTGACTATCGCCAGCTGCTGGCGGGCATGGAGGATCAGTGCTGGCTCAAGCTGGACCTGTGGGAGCTGCTTGCCCGCGCGTTCCAACAGCAACACCAGCAGCAACAACATTTCATTCCCGGCGCCCGTCACTATTTCAAGCTGTTGCTATCACTGCCCGACGGCAATGCGGGACTTGTCATGGAGCATGCATTGGATCGCGGACTGCTGCAGCAGCCGGTGCAAGGCGCTGCACAAAATCCAGGCGACGGCGCAGCCTACATCAATGGACTCGCCCACGGCGTGGCGCTGTGCGTGCACAAGCTAAAGGGTAGCTCGGAGTCGCACTCTAAGCAGCTGCTGGCCAATGCCGATGGCATCGTTTGCTTTGTGGATGCCAAACAGCTGCTGGAGGCGCGTCATCGTTTGCACAGCCTCGTGCGCAACAGCGGCTGCGGCTATGTGGCGCTCATTGTGCAACAGCAGGAGACGCCGCAGACCCTGCTGGCGCAGCAGCTGCAGCTGGAAACGCTGCGAGCTTATCGCATCTACGACTGCCGCACAATGGCGCACGGCAAACAGAAGCTGCAGCTGGTGGCCCTGCTTCAGTGTGCCGCACAATTTCTGGCCAAGCAGCCGCATCGCAGTCGCGGTCCGTTGCAGCAGATGGAGCTGCACGAATGGCTGCATTGCCATTTGGGCGACGAGCTGTTCCAGCGGCTGCGCCATGCGGCGCAACGGGATGCGACCATTGGCAGTCGCTGTCGCCAGTCGCCACAGTTCTGTGCCCAGCTGTACAATGAGGCAGTGCATCGCCTGCAGCTGGTGGCGGGCGAACAGCTGGAGGATCGTCCGCAGCTGCCGCAGGAGCTGCGCTGCTATGTGGAGCCGCTGCCGCCGCAGACACCGCTGCCCAATCGACTGGAATACTTTGTGACTGGCTGGCAGACGCGCCAACAACGTGCTCAGATCGTACAGCTGCTCGAGCAGGCCAAGCTGCCGGAGATGCTGCCACTGCCAGCCGGACAACGTGAGATTTGCGAATGGTTGCTGAACTATGCCCAGCTAAGCGAGGAAGAATCTCTGGTGGAGACGGTGGCGCTGCGTGCCATACAAACGCTGGAGCTGCAGCTGCGCGCAGGCAGTCCCAACTATCTGGACATTGTCGAGATCTTTGCCAAGGAGCGGCTACAGCATATGCTGCGCCGCACTGCAGCCACGCTGCCAGCAGCTGTTGTCTACAGACGCCACACCATGCAGCGTTGCTTTGAGTCGCACTGGTACTTCGACTGGCAGACTGCGGAGCAGCCAACGGAAGCAACACTTGTGGATGATGGGCAGCAGCAGCAGCAGCAGGCGCAGGAACAGGAACAGGAACAGTTGTATCAAGCGGAGACCACTCAGCCGGAGCCGCTTAGCTTTGAGCAAGTGCTGCAACAGGCTCAGGCCGCGCTGGACAAGTGCCAGCAACAGCGCTTTGAGCGCAAGACATTGAGCGTCCTGAACGAGCCGCTGGACAAGATGGAGCGCACCATGAAACGCTGTGACCGACAGCAGCTTCACCATCACCATCAGCAGCAGCAGCAGCAGCAGCAATATCATCCAGAACGACGGGCTGAAAACTTGCCAACGCGTCAGAACATCAAGCGACAACGACTCAGTTCATCCGCCGATGAGTGCACAGCTCTGTTGGATCGCACCGAGCGTCTGCTCGATGTTAGCCAGACGAGCGAGGAGCGCCGCCTTCAAGTGCTGCAACGTGCCAATAAGTTCTTATAATTTATATATACTAGTTGTTTTATACAAGTTTCGAGATTCGTAATAAATTTATTTAAATTGTCATACTGTAAACACGAATTGTGGTCGCTTGTGTGAAGTGCGCCAGAAATGCGATTTTGAATTTTTGCGCCAAAATAGCTTGCATTTGCGCATTGCACAGCACTGCCAAGGGGCAGTTGCTTAGCCACCATATATTCATTAATCTGATTACACATAAGTTATAGGTCATTCAATATTTCATTCATTATTCGCATTTGAACTGGAGTTCAAAATTGGCGCCATAAAGTATGCTCTGTTCGTTGCACAACACTGCATGCTGCTCCGCTTGCCGTTGCTTAGCCACCATATGTTCATTTATTTGATTACACACAAGTTATAGGTCATTCATTATTTTCAATAAAGCTTGTTTGATAAATGCGTCACGCATGCGACATGGTCTGGCAGGGTGAGCATTATGCGCATTTGCGCATTTGGAGTTCAAAATTGGCGCCATAAAGTATGCTTTGTGCGTTATGCGACACTGCTTGCTATCGATAAGAAATGTGCGTGTTATCGTGCTATCGATTTTGGGCAATTTTCTGACAGTTGCGTTCATATGGAAAGGCAATCATGTAGGCCTTGATCACTTTTCATTCTCCAGTCTCTCTCTCAGTATTCATATCAAAATTATTTTAACAGTACAACAGACAAAATTCAATTTAAAAAGTTTAATATTTTCATGCATATTTCAAAATTAAAACGCCGTACAAATTGAAGAACTAACCTTTGTTTGCAATTAACAATTAACTGGAATACGAAACGTTCTAGTTTTTGTGCAATTTAAGCGGAATAGCCAATTATTTGCAAATAATTACCAAAACCTTCGACAATTGTCTAGTCCTTCAAAATACAAGTCGTGTTAAATCGGAGCCAGTTTTTAGCTTTAAAATCAACCAACAAAATGAATAATCTGCCAGGACTTGGCTCATTGCGAATGCTGCCCATTAATGGAGGTGAGTTACCCAACGAATCATTATACCTACATATATATATATATGCCCGCTTCTTTTTGCACACATTTCCACAAATTTCTTCCTTTTTTTTTTTTGGATTTTTTTGACAGCTCTCAACCGCTGTCAGATTTGGCAACGCGCCTTGTCCAAAACGATAAACAGCCAAAATTCTAGCGAGGGGCCCGTCTCGGCCATTTTGTCAACGTACAGATCCGTACGCTGCCGTCTGATGCGCAAAATGTCGGTGGCCATGATCCGACGTCGTTCCAGCCTAAACTTTCTGGAGAAGAAGCCCATCGATGCCCAGAGCGTCGCGAATGCCGGGCATGCTCGGCTGCCGGTGACAATGCGCCACTATCCAAAGACGCTCACCCAGAAACGCTCGAGCATTGGCATCGAGCCACCGATGATGATGCCCACATCGAATGTGTGGGCCAGTTTGCATGCGCAGCGCAGCTTTGCCACAATGAGCGACAGACTGGACAGGGCCAAGGCGACAAAGCGGCCCAAGACATTGACGGAACGGCCCGTGGTGCCCATACTGGAGCTAATTAACCCGGAGGAAGCCACCAAGCTGAAGGGCATTGAGACTGGCGATGCCGCGCATATCAGCATTTTAAGGTCGTCCAAATTGACCAAGGAGTCGCCGCCGCTGCCCGTGCCCCGTCTGGCGGGGCCAACGCAAAAGCTGCTGCCAAATTCTGGAAAGGTTCTGCCCACAAAGGATAGCGTGCGTCCCATGGTGCCCATACTGCGTTTCTTTGAGAATAAGGATCATCTAGATGGCACCGAAACGTTCCGCAGCATCTCAACTGGGCCCAAGCCAAAGGAACAACGCCGCCTGGCGCCATTCCTGCCACTGAGATGCGAGGCCGACTCGGTAGCCAAGCGTCGCGAGGCACAAAAGGATTTCGCACTGAGACGCTCCAGCAGCGTTCAGTATTTGATGGCCAAGCATCCATTGATGCACAAGCTACGACCGCCAACATTGTCGATACTCAAGTCCAACGAGCTGTCCCAGAATGTGGAGACCTTCGAGACCCGGCTCCGGGCACTGCGCACGGCACAGCCACTCAAACTGAAGGTGCCATCGCCGGCGGACATTGAAAGGCTGACCATAACACAAAAGTACAGGGGCTTCAAGTTGCCGCGTCAGCCGCAGGTGCAAAACACATTTCCGCGCATGGGCAAGAAATATGGGCCCAAACAGAGTTTCAGATCGGCCACCGTGGTTCTGCCCAGCATCAAGGCGTACAGGATGACGCTGCCAAAGAAGATCATACGGAACAAGAAGCCCCGTTACCAGAAACCGGCCCAGAAGCTGCAGCCGACCAAAAGTATTGATATGAACGAGACCACGACAAAGACCAAAAAAAGCCAGATGATGTTGATTCACAACAAACGCCCCGAACGGGAGAATCTGAACGATCTGCTGGGCGATCTGCTGGACAAAAAGAAGCCGTCGACGCCCCAACTGACCGAGAGCATTTCATTCCATAAGATTGCACCGCTCTTCAAGCTGGTCACGACCAGCGTGGAGGGTCGCAGCAATTTGCACAACAGACGATTCGAGAAGCAGCTGGAAAGCCCACAGCTATATAGGCATCCGATCATCAGGAATATAAATCAATCGCCGAGCGTTAATCGGCGTGCCATATTTATGGGGCAATCGGCTGCGTATCGGGCCAAAGCCATATTGGAGAACAAGCTGAACATACTCTTAAGGGCCGACCAGGAGGAGGACGACGAGGAAGAGGACGAGGACGCTAACTAAAGTACAGGCAAACCATAAAAATAAATACAATCCGATTGTTATAGGCAATACAATCATTTTGTGTCTATGGCAACAAATCGACAAATCGTGCATAACAGAAAACCAAAAAATATTTCAATCATTTTCTCAACAACATTTGCTAAATATTCTGGTTAACTATGAAATTTACACACAATTTAATATGTTATACAAATGTTTTACAAAATTCAATGTGCCAACCGTTCAATTAATTGTATATAAGATAATATAATCGTTAAATCGCATCTGCCTGCGCTTTACTCTAATCGAAGGCGAGGAGGCGCCATATTTTCGACATAATCTGGCAGGGTGACCATCATTCGCATTTGAACTTGAAATCAAAATTGGCGCCACTGCCACAACGTATGCATGGCGCGTTGCACAACACTGCTTTGCTGCTACGTTTGCCCTTCGCCTAGCTGGAACTTTCATATGAGCAGTAAATGCTTGAATTGGTCAAGCCATCTCGATTAACGACTATATCATAGGTATATAATTAAGTTCTTTTTTTTTGCTTATCAATATATCTGGGCCAAGCTTACCTTCTTTCTCGTTTTATATCCAATTTAATTGCAGCTATAAATCCTGTAAGCCAATTGGATTAATTTTCAACAAATAAACTTGAGATGTTTCTGAGAAATGCCTGCACATGTTTACACATATTTTCCTTGTATTTCAAATACAATTCAAAATGCTTAAAAATGCACAGATAGAGTGATAGCGACAGGGGGCGGGGGGTGGTAGAGAGATAATTGTTTACTGTGACTAATCGCGCGCACACACACACACACACACACACACCTACACTCATGGTAAACATGTTTATCGAAATTGATTCCTTTGTTTACCTCGCCTGGTCACACCATTTCACCAAAACAAGCGTTAATTGGCGCAGCAGCAAAACAAATGAAAGCAATAACAAAAACAAAGTGTCGCACGCGATGTTTGCAGCTCCTCCTCCTCCTCCTCCTTCTCCTCTTCCTCCACCGCTCAGCAGCTTGAATCAGAGCAACTATTTCGGGACGCACTGCGTCGTCAAAGTGCAAGCTCATCCACATTCTCAGCACTCACGTGTTTCGCACTTTTTGGCAGCCGTCCAACGAACGAAACATTTCACAATTCGATGCAAAATTACGTTATTAATACGGAAAAATAGGGAATTTTACAATTTACAGTACGAAAAACACAAGGAAATTTTCTTTTTGTTGTGTCGAGCGACGCCGCCAGCGGGTTTTTTTTTTTTTTGGGACTTTTTTTTTTTTACCAAGGAGTTGGGCTGGCGCACGCCGTTGCACGCATTTCTATTGAACAATTGACTAAATTAAACAATTTGCCGTCTGATTAACAATATCCATTGATAATATATGTAAAACTAATTGAAACGAACAAAAAAAACAAAAAAAAAAAAAACACAAAGGAAAGAAAAAACAACGTCAGCTCAACATTTTCGCCATCAATCGATGAGAAGATTATTTGTGTTGTTTTTTGTGTTCGATTTTGTTGTTATTGTTGTTGTTGATGTTCTAGTTGTCATTTATTGGAGATGATGCTGCACCTTGCACTGTCGAAGCGCCTCATTGAAGCCCTCGCACAGCGACAGATCCGATTGACCCTGGGCGCATTGCAGGAACTGTTTAATTTCCCAGGCGCATGCACCCTGTGGCTCATTGGCACCCTGTGCCGGCTGCGCATAGTATGGCTGCTGCTGCTGTTGAACTGGCGCGGCAGCGGCTGGCGCTGCGGCCTCCTTATCGCCAGAGCCGCTGAACATTGATGTCAATCCATGGCCGACAGTGTGGCCAATCGCTGAGCCAACGGCAACGCCTCCAGCGGTGGCAGCCATTTGCTGGAACATCGATGGCTGCTGTGGTGCCGGCATGCCAACGGCGCTGGGCGGTGCGGCGGCCATGGGTGCCGCCGGTGGTGGTGCGGCACGTGCAGGCACATGTGCCTGTGGTGGTGGGGCGGCGCGAGCCTGCGGCGGTGCGCTGCTGTGAAGCAAAATTAATACACATCATATATATGTATATATATATACACCATTAGTATTGTTGTTGTTGTTGTTGTTGCTGCGGCGCGTTTGAACTTTGCTCGTTGCACAGTGTCCCTTTCCGCGTTTATCTGTTTAGGTGTTACGTAACGCCTTGTGCCACGGAAACTTCCAGAAGTCACCTTAAATTTCGACAAATCGCACTCGCATTGACAAAGACGCGCACAAACGTACAACACATCGCAGTTTGTTGCAACAATTGCGTTGCAATTAGTAAGAACACATTGTTTCATGTCTCTTGCGCATTTTGTCCAATTGGATTTTCTTACATTTACAGGTGCATTATGGCACGTCACTTACCGTCTGGCTGATGGTGGGGGGCTAGCAGAACGTCCACGTCGTACCATTTTGTTGTAGTTTTCTTCTTTTATATTTTTAGTTTATTTAAAACCGAAACTAACAAGTTTTTTAGTTATTTACGAAAATTTAACTGTGTTGCTGCGGATGATTACTTTGCTTTATAAAGTTCTTTGCACAACTAGGGTTGTATGTGAGCACGCATCGATGTCTGGCTTGTATCGATGATTTCAGTGTTGGCAAATGCCGTAAAGACGGCCGATTAGCAAGTACGCGATCTATCGATACATTTTCGATCAATATGGCGCAAATCTGATTCTTCCAGCTGCCTGAATCAACGGTAAACGGAATTTCTTCCATTTTTTTCTTAGGGCTAGCAATGGTTAGTGATATTTGTCTTTGTCTGGTCAACGGCAATAGGTAGCCTAATAATGCAATTTACACTGATTTTGCTGCTCGGACTTTGTTCGCTGAGCGCATACTCAGCCGAAGATCTGCTCGAGCTGGGCTGCACCACGAACGCGCAATGCGAAAAATTCGAGGGCGGCCATTGTCATGATTCGAGCTGTGTGTGCGTAGCACGTGGCAGCAACGAGCACATCCCCTGCCAGCCCAAGGACAACAAGTTGAGCAACATAATTGGCGGGCCGTGTCCCTGCAGCCAGCCGCATGCCGAATGCGACACAAAGATGCAGCAGTGCTTCTGCGCCGACAACTATATGGCCAGCGCGGATAGACGCCGCTGCTTGCCGCTTCAGGTGGCCCTGGATGGAGCCTGTGAGCTGTCGCGCCAATGCCAGCGGGCGGACACGTTTGCCGTCTGCCACATGTCGCAAAAGCGCTGCATATGCCGGGAACACTTTGAGCAGCATCAGGGCAGCTGCCGGGCGCTTCTGGGTGAGTCTTCATCCTTCAAGTAACGCGATATCCGCATTAACCATCCAACATCCATGTACAACAGATATGGGCTGCAGCAACAATACGCATTGCGAACCCATTGGCGCTTCGATTTGCCTGCCGCCGGCTAAAAAGTGCGCCTGCATTCAGGATTATGTGCCCAATCACAATATGACCAGCTGTGTGTCGGGCGTTGGATTTGGCAGCAATTGTACGACTCCCGCCCAATGCCAGCTGCAGCTCGGCGCCGGCAGCACGTGCCGCGACAATCGCTGCACCTGCCGGATCAAGCACTACCTAAAAATGGATCAGGAACCGAACAGCGCCGTTTGCGAGCCCCTGGTGCCATACGGCGCCTATTGTCGCCGCACGGAGGACTGCCAGCAGCATCAACCGGATGTGGAGAACCGGGTGCATGATGCACGGATGCACTGTTTTAGGGGCGAGTGCCAATGCCGGCCCGACTTTCGTGTTGTCGACAATCAACACTGCGTGCTGGACACATCCGCGGCTAATCCGCGATATAGACTGCAACACGCACCGCTCTCCATGCTAATTTTTTGGCCAATTTATTATTATGTATAGAGAGAGAGAGAGAGAGAGAGAAAGAAAAATAAACACACACATTGAAATACACATTGCTCTGGGCTTTGGCCAGGCTAGAGGCCGATGCGTGCCGGAGTACGGCGTGGCGTTGCATTGCCGGGCGTGGCGATTTCCTGTTTGCCCGCCAGCTGCTCCTCGCGCTGTGCTGCCTGCTGTTTGCGCTCCTCCATCTCGTGCTGGGCCTGCAACATTTGCTCCTCCATTTCCTTTAGATGCTCGGCGGCCAACTTCTTTTTGTCCCGGCCGCTGCGTCCGGTCTCCTTAACCGAAAAGAACATGGGCCCCAGCTCGGCCAGCCAGTAGCCATCGACAGCGGTGGCACACTGCATATACTCCTTGGCGGTCATAATTAGCTCATGGTAGACCACATAGTCGGGCGTGGTGCCCAGACCGTATAGCGCCGATGTCGGATGCAAATGGCAGGGCATGCCTGTGCGCAGATTCACGTACTCGCCGATGCCCTTCAGACGTGCCGCCTGATAGAAATAGGCGGAGCAGATGCACTTGCGCACAATGTCCCAGTCGGTGCCGCATGACTTCACGTTCATTTTCTGCTGCGTCATGATGTCCTTTAGCTGCTGGCGCACCTCGCGCACCTTGCGCATCGCCTTGATGTGTATGAAGTGCTCGTTGCACCACGTGGAGCTATAGCTGCAGGATCAAAGCCATATGGAGAGGGCGGGGAAGGGGGTAGATATAAAGCGAGTTGTTATAAAGCATCTCCTGCTGCTGTCTCACCTGTTCTGCTTCCACTGCAGGTAAACATTCAAATAGGTTAGATGATCCGATTCGGGCACCTGAAACTTTTCGCGTACACCATCCGCCTCCTCCTCGCGCCCCTTGGGCCTATAGAATATGGAGGGCACCGACAACATGGATACTGTGAAATAAAAGAGAAATCCGTTTAGCGGTAATCAAACACAAGCTGCAGGACTTCAAGCTGAAATGTCGAAGTTGGATCAGCACTTGTATACCCTGTGGGCACCTCAACAGGGTATAATTGTTTTGCATTTTTCATTAAAGTGACGAAATCAGAGCGTCATCCACTTTACCCCTCTGCCCGCTCCTATGATCAACCGTTTTACAGTTAGTAGACAATGCATATTGTTTCTCTGTCTCGCCTCAAAGTAACGGAATTTGCTAATAAGAATAACGGATAACATCGAATGTTCGTATATTTCTCTTGTGAGTGTGAGCGTACGTGAGAGCGTGCGTGCGTGTGTGGGTGTGTACATGTGTGCGTGTGTGCGTGTGATCGCGTATTTCTCTTCATTTCGCTTTTGGCAAATGCGCAATTGGAATGGAGATTTTAGAAAAGACTTTTTCAATTTAACCAAATTAAAATCTATTCAAATTAAGAGCTTATTTACTTTTGTTTAAAATAAAATAAAATACTTTATGGGTTAACAAACAGGTAAGTCCTCTTTAAATCTTGAAATCAATTTGAAATCCAAAAATATTGAAGGATGCATTAATAATTTCAGTATGGCAGCTTCAATTGATGATTGAAGTTGAATAAAACCGCTTTCCATGCGTTTTCCACAGTTTTGGGTGGAATGGAAAATGCAGCTTTATTGGCCAATCAGTCAATCAGTCAGTCAGTCAGTCAATCAATATATGTATGTATGTGTATAGATAGATGACTCACCTATGATGAGCACCTCGGCACTGCACTCCATTTGGCAGGCAACGATGAGCATCTGGCACTGCGGCGGATCCAGCGGAAACTCGGCCATTTGCCTGCCCAGAGTGGTTAGGGCGCCGGTGTGATCCAATGCGCCCAATATCCACAGCTGGTAGAGCGAATTGAGGATGTTGTCCTGTGGCGGTGGGTCCATGAAATGGAATTGCAGCAGATCGACAACGCCCAGAGATTTGAGCAACAGCACCGTATTGGCCAGATTGGTGCGCTGTATTTCGGGCACGGTGAGTGCCAGCAGCTCGTCCTTGTATTGGCGCTGTGTATAGAGGCGGAACGCCTGGCCGGGACCCGTGCGACCGGCACGACCGGAACGCTGATTGGCATTCGCCTGCGAGATCGGATAGATCTGTAGGGCATCCATGCCGATGCGCGGATTGTAGACCTTCAGCTTGCAGTAGCCGGAGTCGATCACATAGATGATGCCATCGACTGTGAGCGATGTTTCCGCAATGTTGGTGGCCACCACACATTTGCGTACACCGTCGGCGGACTTTTGAAAGATCTTCGCCTGCAGATCGGAGGGCAGCTGCGAATAGATGGGCAATATGCTCAGCTCGGGCGCATTATCTATCTCGCTGAGGCGTTCTTCGAGCACCTCGCAGGTGACCTCGATATCCTCCTGGCCGGGCATAAAGATCAGCATGTCGCCCTCGTTGGGCGTCAGATGCACCTGAAGCGCCTGCTTAACGGCCGATTCCACATAATCCTCGCACGCGTTCTTGCTAAACATCACATCCACCGGAAACGTGCGTCCCGGTATTGTAAACGTCGGCACGTTCCCGAAGAATGTCGCAAACTTGCTCGAGTCCATCGTGGCCGAGGTCACAATCAGCTTCAGGTCATGTCGTCGCGCCACAATCTACAAATGCACAGAATCCAAATAGTAAATGGGATTAGCTTGCGATTAAATGCCGGACGAGTAGGTCTTTGGTTAAGAGAACTGTATTGTGGTAACACGACTAGCCAATACCCTTACTTATTTTTGGTTGCATACATAATTGAATGCCAGGCGGACACGTGAGTTGGGATCCCTAGGGGTCAATGGCTTCGAATATGCATTATAGAGGACTGTCCATTATCTATGGCGACATGTGCCACGCATTCTGGGGCATTCCACTTGAGGCTACTCGATACTGTGGCCTTGCAACGAATTCACCTCCCAACAAAATGTGCTTAGTCATGCGAGCATGACCCAAATCCCGAGCACCGGCCCCTGGGCTCAGGGAGGCATCAAATCAAAGTCATGAAAGTCCATGCTGCAGCAGCAGCCAGCAGCATATCCTGAGCTGTGCCCACAGCAAGTGTGTTGAATTGTTGAGGCTAACGAAACTCAACACACACGAAGCGTTTAAGAGAGCAAGCGACAGGGCGAGAGAGAGGGATAGAGAGAGCAAGAGAGAGCGCCCGCCTAATCAGAGTAGAGAGCAGTCTCACAGTTTCGGCTGACGCTCAAACGATTTAACGATTTGATGAATCGACATGTCGACACACGATTGAGCACTGGTTGGATGAAGGGTGGGGCGGGTTGCCATCCCGCGCCGTGTCAAAAGTCAAACGTGCTGCGTCTCACGTAGGCAGCTTACCCACCGCTGAGGACGTATAGCCAGATCCTGTGCGCAGCTTATTTGTTTGTGTGTATGCATGTGAGTAAGAGTAAGAGTATGTGTGTGTGTGTGTGTGTGTGTGTGTGTGTGTGTGTGTGCGAGCGCATGGGATGTTATGCATGCCTGGGCAAAGCACAAACAAAAAGCTCATAGTGCCGTTAAATCAATTCCGTTGCAGCACCTGCTGCAGCAGCGGTCAGCTTCGAGTCACGGGCAACTTAACAAGCAAATTGCGCATTAGTTTGCAATGCGGTTAGAAATAGGTGGGACAAGCCCACAAACACATGCATGGTGTTTATTATGCGGCTTATCGAGGTATGCACACATGTATCTACATATGTATATAATGCACACACACACATACATATAGACATACTACACAGACACGTTCATATTGAGAGGAAATTGTTTTTATAAAAACGCTTCAACGCCAACGCATTGATTCAAGTTTATCTCTGGAGCCGAGCGTTAAATGACGTTGAGCACTGTATCCCGTTCACGGCAATTACGATAGTGTACTTCGATATATGACAGTTATATGGTGAATATAGACGCATGTACATGCACGTATGCATGTATGTATGTATGTGTATGCGAATGCAAGATAAGGCGTTCTTTCACAGCTACAAATGTATGTATGTATGTCGAATTGCTGAAAATGTGCCAAATGGAATATCTGAAAGCTAAGCTGAGAGAAATACTTAATCATTTAGATATATGTATACATAGTACATAGTTATGTATGTATGTGTGTATACATGAAAAACCTTCTTTGTAAAATTTTTAAGCCTTTGTGTTTGAAATGTTGACTTGAAAAATGGGAAATATTTTGAAAAAATATACACATAATGGAAACCCAAAGGCCCATTAGCAGCAATTCTCAGACATTTTTAAAAATCTATTTAAAATTTTTTTGAATTTTTACTGAATTAGAAAAACGAATGTAATATATCATATCAAAATGTGAATATAATCCATTTAAGAAATATTCAATTTATTTCTTTATACATATTATTTTCCTATTCAATATTTTTATTTAAACGCATTCCACATATCTTCTAATAATAAAAGAAAACTGAAGTTCAATTGACTCTTGTGTTTTTTTTTTTTTTTTTTCAGTGTAACTATAATATTTCAGTGCCTGGAACTAGGCAAGTCCAAGTTGGACATGGGGTTAATTATGTTTACAATAAAAACAACTGGAATCAAATGCAACGAAATCGAAACCGATTCAACAATCCATTTGATTTTTTACCATTGAACATTCTCGAAGCCGAAAAGTTATAAAGTTCGAAAACAAAAAAAAAATAAAATAAAAGTTTTATATGATATTGATAATCCTGTGAGAATTGTATTACTACAATTAGCTCAGTTGTTTACGAAATGAAAGAACATTCGTTTTGTAGATTTGAGTTAAAAATAGAAACCGCTTGAAAATTAATAAACAAACATTCCCGACTCTATTAAAAATTTGTATCGACAATCAATTGATTATAACGATTTTGATTAGTAAAACGACAATTACGAATTGCCAGAAGTCAATAAAAAGTTCTCTAGTCAAAATTCTATACAGTAATGCGCATATAAAGTGCGAGATCTATCACTAAGAAAAAATAGGTATCAAGTTTGGAGGTTATGTCGAAAAACATAGGTATCTATAGATACAGATAAAGATATAGATAAAGATATAGATATAGCTAAGGAAAGGATAAAGATA